CTGCCTCCAGGCTGCCCAGTCAGGCAGCAGTGGCAGTGCAGATGAGCCACAGGGCAGTCCAGGCACGGGCTCCAGGCTGCTGCGGCAAGAAGGGCCCAGCAGCAGTAAGGGGGAGAGGCTGCTTTTGCTGTGTGCTGAGCAGCGGTTTCTGCCCAGCCACTGCTGTTGCTCAGTGTGGGCAGATGAATCTGGAGCAGGTGTGGGGCAGGCCAGGGGCATGGCTGTTCGCACAGCTTCTGGCTGGTCTGCTCCGGCTGGAGCATGCATGGCACGGGTCGGGATCAGGGCTGGGGCTGTGTGCTGTTGGTGGCAGCAGGCAGGAGCCACAGGGCATTTGGCTGTTGGGGGGGTGGGGTGCTGCCAATTGTTTAACTGTGCTTAAAATTGTGATTAATTGTGACTATTTTTTTAAAATCTCACAATTAATTGCAATTTTTTTTTAATCATTTGTCAGCCCTATCAAGAATCATGCAAAAGGTGCATAGATGTGTTTAAACATGAATGCAGATTGCTCAAGTATTTAATTCATTGCTCTTTCTGCATAGCCTGTGTGTTACCTGGCATTATGAATGAATTGCATGTTTGCTGAATTACCAGAGTAAAATTCTAGCACGTGCTGGTAGAGAGACCGGTGGTGACTGAAACCAGCATGATTTTCAGTGATGTTCCCTTCATTGATTACAACAAAGGGGCAGAGTGGTGCTCAGATTGCTTTGAAAGAAGGTTGGTTCACTGGACTTCTGCTGCCTACAACCATTTAAAGACAATAGCAAGTGAAATCTTTTTACAGACATTGGAGTGATTACAGTAGACATTGACCTATGCTGCTTTAAGAACGCCTGCACAAGTGCTTTTGTGAGGATTGTAAATGGGACAAACTGAATTCCGCCCTTTAAGTAAGCTCTGGGGGTGTGGTAGTGCAGAATAATGTAAATGCTCTACAGATAGATTCAGCTTTCTCTATTTGCAGGTATTCATTTGGGAGGAAAATAATTCAATATTGCCATTGTCCAAGTGTGGAGAAATCATGAGAAGTAGGGCTGGATTGCCTTAAAATTATGAGACTTGTGACAAAGATTTTAATGTTCTTTTTTATTTGCCATCTGAGTCTTGAGCCTTCAGGGGGGACAGTTCACATTTTCAAGTTTTATTCCGCATTCAATTGGGCTAAAAACTTACTGCTCCTTAAAGGAAAACTGAGGCTTTCCTGTAGTTTTGTCTTTTAGCCTTCTATCACGGAGAAAAATGCCAAATATTGGCAGTGTTGGCAACACTAATAACTTCCAAATGCCTTGAATCAGTAATTTTCTGAGACATGATGTCCTAAGATCACTGGAAGAAATTTAACATGCAATAGTGAGAGCAACACACACATTACAGTACCGCTGCTTGACTATAGCAAGTGCTGGTCTTCAAGTCTTCATCTAGAGCAGGGGCTGTTAACCGGGGGTACACGTACCCCTGGGGGTATTTGGGAAGGTCCTAGGGGGTACGTGCAGGCAGGCATGGATGGAGTGCTGCTGTCTCCCAGGAGCGGGGCGGGTGCGGGGGGGGGTGAGGGCAGCAGTGCCCCTCTGCGGGCCACGCAGGCAGCGCCTGGCTGGCTGGACACAGGGGTGAGGGGAAGCTTCTCCTGTGCTGCCGCTTTGCACTACCATGTGCTGCTAAAAAATCCACTCATTTTTTAGTAAGTGTACCCCCCTCCCCAGCTCCACATCTGGCTGCGCATCCACCTCCCCAGCTCTGGGCCTGGCTGCACGCCACCCCCTCTCCCCCCGCCCCAGGCACCGGGGGTGCACTTACTAAAAACTTCTGGCCGCCGGGGGTACACTTGCTAAAAAAGGTTGAAAACCCCTAATCTAGAGCTAGACCAGAAAGCAATCTTTATTATTTGTGACACTGCTGAAAAGGCAGATACTGATGTTTCATAAACAGGTGATGTAGAAACATCCCCTTATACACTGCAATATAATATATTATAATGCAATCGTATATTCCGTATGTTAAATGCTTCCTCGATACAGAAATAGGTGTCCTGTGGTCACAGTGTCAGTTTTACCGTGCTGAAATTTGTGGGTTTGGGGATTTCGCATTCAGCTTTTAGCAAAGGTCAGGGAAGTTGTTAAATAGCCTCAGTACAAGACCTAGAAACGTGGAAAGAATAGAAAATTAACAGACTACAGCTGGAAATCTTTATTTTCTGTTTACCTTAGATAATTTTAAAGACTGGTAGGAGGAGAGTGTTAACAGGAAGTAAAGAGTGCTTTCTAAGTAAAAAAAAGTCAAAACTTGATGGGCTGCCAACTTCAATGGTTTTCTGGGAGGAAAATCCTGTGTCTGAGATGGACACGTTCTCTTCACAGAGTAATTTTAAATTGCTAAATGTTTCCTTTCATAAACCTTTCCCAGACTTCCTTAATTCAAACGCACCTAAACTTAAAACTTAAAATATTATGCATGTTGAAAACTACCTCCTTTGTTAAGGAGGTAGTCAAGCTGGGCATTTGACAACTGGGAAGAAAATCTCCAGAGCTAACAGATGAGCTCCCACAGCCTGAACAAAAGAGCCCAACTGGTGCAGCTGGGGCTATCCCATTCATCCTCCCTGGAGTGGCACAGAAGGCACCCATAACTTTGACTCAGCAGCAAGTAATTCACAATTTTACTGTAAGTGCAAATAAAGCTAACAGTTGGTAAGAGCATGCATAAAAAATCTTGAAGGCTGTGAACTTAATATCTATTTTCATCTTACTGTAAAAATAAAACTTTCAGAGAACTGCAACATAAAAATCTTGTCACGAAAGGGATTTTTTCACAGAATAACCCCAAAATATTAATGCTCCAGGCAAACACTGTGCTGAGCATTCATTGTAGATGGACACTATCAAGTGACATTCACATTTGTTTGATTATTTTTTACGTTCTTAAAGTTTCAGCTACAATTCTTATAAGGGAGAGCGGTATTTTTGGAAGGAAGTTTGTATCCTTATTTCAGTTTGTTTACTTTGGACATTTGTTCAGAGACTTCCATTTATAGTAAATTCGCTTCCTCCTTTGTTGGCATGTCTTAGCATAGCAGCCAGAAAGTGAGACAATCAGTAAAAAGCAACAACCCTTCTAGCCAGATGCAAATGCTTTATACTGCTGAGGCCCAGATCCTGGATCAGTGCAGAGGTGGGGGCAATTTTTTAATTCTAGAAATGTGTTTATGGCAAGAGATTCCAGGTTGTATCCACTTGTGATCGCCTCAGGGTAATACGTGAGACTAGCCAGGAATGGAAAGAATCCATGCTTCCCTTGCCGGACCAGAAAAATCTAGGAGAAATTCTACCTCTGGGGTGTGGTTGGGTTAACTCACTGTGTGGTTTTGTGCTTTGTTTTCC